CTTAGCGGCAGAAGTTCGGCTACTTTAATATAAGTCCCCGCGAAGTGTCTCCGCGGCGTAAGGGCGACGTGTTCGAAACTGCCAAGAAAATTAATAACACGTCCCGAGCGAGTAACTCGGTCGTGCTCGTCGATGCGAGGCGTCGAGCTATCGGGGAAAATGACGAAAGTTCTCCCCCTGATATCCTGGGGGATCCTCGGTGTTCACGAATTCCCCGAACACTCCTCGGGGTAGGGGATGAAGCCGGGTAAGGGGGTAGATGCACGTATCGCGACGAACTACGAATTCCGACCGCCCGATCGGCAAACCTGGAGATTTCTAGGGAAATTTCCGATGAGAAATTTCCGACACATCGGGGAATGCTTCTAAAAGTATATCAATATACTTTTCACATTTAATTAACCCTCGATTTCATAACTGAAAATCTCGTACATCTCGCAAATTGGGTTTCACAGGAGAAAAACGCGACCCTCTGTTCCGTGATAAGAGAGATTTTTTTTTTGTAAGTGTCGGACAAATTAGGGCTTTTCTCCCTTTTGGGGGAATTATTGCCTTACTCTTGGTTTTGTAGATCGGTTATTTTCTTTTATTATCGGGGAACGAATTAGGGACGATGTGGAGCATGGGGATGGGGGTAAGTCTTATATCGGGGCAATCAATTTTCGCAATCCCCGGCGACGTAAATTTCACACAGGCCGCCCCGGAATGGCGATTTCCTGGCAGAGCCCTTACGTTTTGAGGTACAACCCCTGGAGGTAATCGATCGCTTTTAAGCCCCCCTGACCCATGCCCTTAATACGGTCAATTACTTCCGACAGATCGGTTATCACCTTGTCACTGGCCGCTTTATTTTTTCCTCCCCTGGAAGACCCCATATTTCCTCCTTAGGCGATATTACATTCGTGCGAGCCATGCAGAAACTTTTCCCCCTCGAGTGGAGCCCGGGTGACGTCGTGAAAATCCCTCGAGACAGTTTTGTCCGAAGTCCGGAAAATCCCGACCGATCTCCACGCTAAAAATCGTCCTCTCGTTGCACCTCGCCGAACTTCCAGATCTCACTAAGACGGACTAAATTATTTTTCACCATTATTAATTCCAATCATTTCGTTATAATTATTATAAAAGAATTCCGAGGTTTGAATGGCTGCTTTTTGAAGAGGCGGAAGATCTACCCGGTGTATGTTGCATTTTCCTGGGCTCCATTCTATCCGACTTGGAGTAGAATCGAGTAGTTCTCTTGTCGCCATCCATTTTCGGGATTTAGCTCGCTTTGCCCTGTTTCAACCTGGATGATGTATCGCTCGCAAAACCATCCCGTTGCGGCCATCTTACGAGATCTCGAGGAGGATCCGTTTCGTGTAAACCTTCGGTTTCCGTGGCCGAGGAAGGTTGCTTGGAGCTGGAAATTAAGGTGGTCCTTTACGAGGACTCGGTTCCAATAATTCCATACCGCGTAATCCTCTTCCTTCTCGGTCCTAACAAGGAAGGTACCTGAGGTGTCCCCCTCCGATTTTGTTCATTTTTAAATATGTTATAGAGGACTAAAATCTAAGGGACGCGTGTTTTTTTTTATCGACGGATAAACACTTCTAGGGGGTGAAATCAGGCTTCAAGGTTGGCCGTGCAAGGGGGCTGTTCATATAGAAGCACTCGACCGATTTTCATGAAACAACCGTCAAAATGTAGGGAATGAAGAATTATGAAACATGCATTTAGAATTTTTCGAAAAAATTCATTTTTAAAGGGTGAGCCACCCCTTTGAATACTTCCTTTACCCCTTACGCGAGCAGTAATTGCTCTATCCAAATGAAACTTGGCTAATTTATAGACCAGAACAATACAAAAAAAGTTTCATTTAAGTAGAACAATTACTGCTCTCGTAAGGGGTAAAAGAAGTATTCAAAGGGGTTGCTCACCCCTTAAAAATGAATTTTTTCGAAAAATTCCAAATGCATGTTTCATAATTCTTCATTCCCTACATTTTAACGGTTGTTTCATGAAAATCGGTCGAGTGCTTCTATATGAAACAGCCCCCTTGCACGGCCAACCTTGAAGACGGATTTCACCTTCTAAAAGTGTTTATCCGCCGATAAAAAAAACACAGGTCCCTTAGATTTTAGTCCTCTATAACATTCTTAAAAATGAACAAAATCGGAGGGGGACACCTCAGGTACCTTCCTTGTAAGACAATAGCCTAGATTAGACGTCGCTCGCTGTTTCGTAATTTCGTAATATCACGATTTCTCGATTTGATTGGGCTGTCCAGAAGGTTTGCGCCGATTTTTAAGTCCTAATCTCACCCATCGAAAATCCACGCGAATACTTTCACGACGATTCCCGCTCGCATAATTATTTTATTCATTCCTCTAAGAATATCCTCGCTGTAAAGAATTATTTTCAAAGTGGTTACTAGACAGAAGTCATGGAAGGTGAAGAAACGTCGAGTTTGTTGGCAATCCAATTTCAGCGGGGGTGGGATAATTCGTAATTAATAAGTCAGCTAATCGTCAAGGAAACCGCGTCGGTCCGACCTATTTGATTAGGTAATCGGTTTCCTGATAACGAGGCCGACTGTCAATTACCCAGGGACTAATTGTAATTAGGCCGGCGTAATTGTAATTATCTCGGGCCAATTAAGTCCCTTACTAATTATCCCAATCCCGCGTGTCGGGGGGCTGAAAACGTCAAATTGCGTCCCGACCAACGTCTTACTTCGGCCCGTTAAACGGCGTCGTAATCGTTGCACCCTCCGGGCCGGCTTTTCCTGAAACTGCATCCAGCAAACGAGTCTCGTTAACGTCGCGACGGAGCCTCGGGTCTCGTTGTAACTCCACCGCAAGGACGTCCGCGATGCAGCCTCCTAAAGTTGCACCGATGTCGCGATTTGTTGCGCCACTCTTCCCCTCGGAAACGAGATAAAGTTAATTTCCTACTCGCGGGAGAAAATCTTAAACGACGGGATATAAAGTATTACATAACCTCGAATCTCACGGGCTGACCTAACCTCGTTACTAACAGGGAAGGTATCCCAGGTCGATCTCTCCGATTTGATTTCTTTTATAATATGTTGTAGTAGACTAAAAACTAAGCGACACGTAATTTTTCTTATCTGACATTAAACACTTTAAGGGGGTGAAACCACCATCCAATGTAAGGCCTGTGAGGGGTGGCTCACCCTTTAATTTTTTTTTTATTGAAAAAATTATATTTTTCATTTCTCGTTACGAGAAACCTTTTCCAGGTGGATTAGTTAAAAAATATTGTGTTCTTGTGAGTGAAACTGCCAAATCGCCCCTTGACATGCCTTTGGATGGTGGTTCCACCCCCTTAAAGTGTTTAGTGGCAGATGAAAAAAATATGTGTCGCTTATTGTTAGTTTTTAGTCAACTATGACATATTATAAAAGAAATGAAATTGGACAGATCGACCTGCGATACCTTCCTTGTAAGAAAAGGATCATTACATCTAATCAGATAGACAGCCTCGATTCACCTCCCTGGTATCGCGTTATAACCGCGATAAGATTTAAAGTAATCCTCAACCCTAATTTTCCCTATGTGGACCTAACCTCAAAAAATGATTTATAGCAATTGGAATACATAACCTCGTTCGCCGGTCCCTGGTATCGCATTATAACCGCGATAGGGTCTAAAGTAATCCTCAATTCCGATTTTCGCGCTTTGGACTTAACCTCGAAATATAAATTATAGCAACTCTAATACATAACCTCGCTCGCCGGTAGTAATCCGCGTCGCTGCAACGTTTCAATCGAGCACGGCCCGTGCTCCTGGGAACTACAAATTACTCGCCCCTGTAACATTTTACTTAGCGTTAAACCCTTCCATAGTCATTACCTCTCCGGAGCGCGCTCCTGCGAGGATTACACGCAACAAGCGAGTCGCGTAAGTGTAACAGCCCTCGCGTCTCGTCGCGGCGTCGAGACAATGAGCCCGAAGTTGGCCGGGGACGCGAAGTTGGCCCCCTTAGTCGCGACTTCGAGAGCGAAGTTGCGCGCCTGCCGTTCGCTCCGGGAACTTCGGACCTAATGGCCGCGCAGCGAGGGGTGAAGGGGGGGGGTCGCGCGAGCCAATCAGAAGCCCACATTGCCGGCGCCCCAAGAGCTCGCGCTCCCATTGGCTCCCGTCCGCCGCGGACGGACTTTAACTACTCGTCGGGCGAGGGAAATTTTCCCCTGGGATTAGGCCGGCGTCGTCCAATGAGATTACCCGCTCCAGGGGAAATTGCTCGCCCGGCCGCGGGAAAATTTACCTCGCCGGCCTGGTCACTCGCGCGTCCAGGCTTTAGGACCGAATTTGGTCGACCCGTCGTCATGGAATTTTGGAAATAAATTCTAAAAATATAGAAAGACCTTGAATAAAATCGCCGAAAATTCGGACGCCTTTAAATGCCTTCCTATTACGTATTTATTGTAACATAGGCACTGCGAGCCCAGGATTTAGGTCCGAATTTGGTCGACCCGTCGTCATGGAATTTTGGAAATAAATTTGAAATATATAGAAGGGACTTAAATAAAGTCGCCGAAAATTCGGACGACTTTAAATGCCTGCCTATTAGGTTTTTATTGTAACATTGGCACTGCGAGCCCAGGCTTTAGGACCGAATTTGGGCGACCGGTCGTCATGCAATTTTGGAAATAAATTTGAAAAATATAGAAGGGACTTAAATAAAGTCGCCAAAATTCGGACGCCTTTGAATGCCCTCCTATTACGTATTTATTGTAACATAGGGACTGCGAGCCCAAGCTTTAGGGCAGAATTTGGTCGACCCGTTGTCCTGGAATTTTGGAAATAAATTTCGAAAATATAGAAAAGTGACCGTAATATAAAGTCGCCGTGAATATTCATATCTTTAAAAGCCTTTCCAAGCTTTAGGGGAAATAATTGCCAGGAATTGGTTGGAATTTTTTTTTGTAGATATTGAGGCATTTATTGTCATATTTTGGGGTGACGAGTAATGGAGGGGTTTTCTTTTTGTTGCAGTGTGCGTGCAGTGGCCAGAGGGTAGGTGCATCCACGACGTGTCCGAAGAGGCACTCATCACACTTTATTCGGAAATTCGGGAGAACTGCCACGGGTTCTCCTGAAGGGCCACTTCTCCGACGCTTGCCAAGGCTGTTCGGTCGATACGACAGATTGAGACCGCGACCACTTCCGAATTTCTTGCGAAACAATAGCTACTCCCAACCGCCCCCACGACCAAGCAAAAAGCGAAGGGTTTAGGGACGAAGTCAAGGCTAAATCGTTAAATATCGTCGAAATGATACGCCGGCACGTGCGAAGCGATCTACTCTTATCTATTAAGTCGCGATTCGAGCGCAGCGAGTGACGTCCCAGGCGGCGCCTTTGAACCGCCTTCAGAAGCGTCCACTTTGGCGTAATTGGGCCCATCGGCTCTTAAAAATCTTGAGAATTACCTCGGACTTGTTCCTTCATTTTTCTGGAATTTTTTACGAATTTTTTAACGCTTCATAAAAATATGCCTCTGGGACGGCGCGCGCCTGCGCGTTGATCCGACCTAACACTGACGGTAGAGGTGTCCCGAAATTACTGCTAATGATTTTTAGGGCTCGGCTCAAAAGTCCTTCTGCAGCCAAGGTGGGTCTATTTTATTTACATACTTATCATTATCCAACACTTTTCGTTTCCCGTTTCTTATTTAGATTCTCGGCCCCTCCTTAGCCTACCAAAAGCACCCGAACCGCCATCTTGTCGACGTTAGTCGAGCCAATTAATTGATTTCCGATTATCGAGACCGTTGTCCACCGATGAACGAGATTCTCGGCCAGGTTTCGAGACACTAGTCGACATTTTTCTATTATTCCGATGCACTCAAGGCATGTCGGCGCTAATTATGCACTCAATCAGTGCATTTAGATGCGCCAGAAAATCCGATCGATCCAATAGTTTGCCAATGAACGGCAAATAATTGCCACGAACAGTGACGTATCTATTTAGTCAGTGATAGGACGGGTTTAGTCGAAATCTCCGTCGAAATCCTCCATTTTGATAATCGACTGGATAATGATTACAGATTAGGTATAATGCCGCTGTATCTACACGTGTAATGGCACGATGCCATTTTGCATTCGTTTCTTTTTCTTTGTTCGTTTTCTTCCGAGGAATATCGGAGGAGTATCGTTTTCGGGACTCGAGGCTTTCAAAGGGTTATTCGAGAGCTATTCAAGAGATATTCGAGAGTTATTCAAGGCAGAGTTCTGGGAATGAATCCAAAATGGCGGAAAGGCCACCCACCACAAGAGGCGCTCTAGACTTTAGTGATATACGACTACAGGGTACTATGCAGTTTTTCTGCTACTTCTCTTATTCTGTTGTTTTTTTTTTGTCTTTCTATTTTTTGTTCGTTAGTTCTCCAAGCTCCTCTCGCCTCCTCGTCCATTCGCGCCATGGCTCTTCTCCCGTGGCGCATTTCCGAAAGCCCGGAAATCCGAAATCTCCCAATCCCCTCTACGTACTCAGACTCGAGAAAAGGCTTTGTCTATTGATGAAGAAATTCGAGGTGCCATTCTGTCGTGGCACCTCGAGCCAACGATGCAGGGTAAAGTAGTTAGTGAGACACGCAGTCGAAATTAGGTTAGGTTTGCGATAATCATTGTAAAGGTTCCCGAAATCGCCGGATTTCCTTTTACCAAGTCAATCCTCTCGGAAAAAGGAGTTGAAAGTCTATTTTGCAAAATTCTCCCCGAGCCGGAATTTCCGAGATATCCGGAATCGAAGTCGACCAATCAGACGTCGCCGATGCGCGTCAACGGAATTGGCTCCAACGGAAAGTGGCGGAGGACCTTCTAGACTTGAATTTTTATGGAAGCTTCTATGATAGATTTTGGAATCGATAGAAAAAAAAATCACCGAGAAAGGGAAATCCGGCGAGGTGGAACTCTCGAGCCGATGCAGGGCCGCGATCTCGGAGTCGACTTAACCTCAAAATACTCGTTTCGTCCTCGACACTTCGTTGGATTGATTTCAACTTGAGTTTCCTCGCGACCTCTCTCTGATTGCAGTTTTCTCTTTTTTTTCTTCTTTTTTCCCGGGCGATTCGGTGGTTCTCGACCAGAGGAGGATATCGCGTGAGAGAGGGTTCAAAGAAGTTGCCATTTTTAGGTTAGGATAGCCTAGTCTGCTACGATAGTGATAAGATGCATGCCACGGTTCCGTGTACGAGGAGTTTCATACGTAACTGCTCGAGTGCGCGCACGCCCTAAGCTCTCCGCCATGCCTGAAGACCTGAGAAGAAGAGCCCCTGGAAATGGGAAAAGAGAGATCAAGATAATGAAAGGGAGCCAGAAAGGAAGCAAAAATATGAGGGCGCAGGAAATTACGGGCTAGAGAGAGAAGACACTATACGAGAAGCTTAACGCGAGAGCGAGAGAAACATTGAACTATGGCGCGCTCTGGCGGAGGCGTCGCTGAAGCTGACATTCCCAATGCGACATTTTCTGCATTCCGTTACGTACGACTCTGGAAATACAAGGAATAATTCAAAAGCCAAAACGTTTCGTCATTAACGAAAGGATATATACACGATAAAAATGAAATATAACCCTTAGGCGGTAAAAATAAGAAAAAAGGTGTAAAATATTTTTCAAACGTTTTTCCATACGCAATTTCCAATTCTATGGAAAATCAAAGGCCTTTGTGGATTTTTCTCTCCTTCAAGTAGCCGTATTACGTTTACATTTTTCGCCGGGTAATTCGGGACGAGTGGAGGTACCCTCTCGGTGCTTCGTAATTAATTTCCTTAATTCCTCTGCCGGTTATTTTCTTCTGTTATTCCTTGTGTTTCCATTACGCGGTAGGCCTTAACATATCAGAGATGGACGAGGCCCTGTTTAATGTCGCCTCCATGTCCGCTGTGGTTTGTGATATCATGTTCCAACGAGACGTCGGTATCGGCCCGGCCCATCTCGGCATTGCTCCAGTTTTTAGGCTGTAACGGAGGTCATACGCGACATTTTCAACATAACCTAACATTCGACGCTAGGAACAAGGACACATTCCTTAGAGAAGAGCCTCGCAAGGTCTCTTATATAATTAACGCAGGAATACGGATATCTTAGAGGGCGAGCCGATAAATAAACACGTGGATGCACCGAGAGAGAAATCGAAGGAGTCGAAGAGACACAAGAAATTCAAGATCCTGAAGAAATGGAAATTCTCCATTTTCTATACGAAATCCATTTCCTCGGCTTGGGGGGGGGGGGATTTCCCGGGAATTTCATTTCCGCCCTGGCAGGAATTTTTGTACATCGCGAAATATAAATGCAGAAATTGCGTCCAAGTGTCGCTGCACTTATCTCTTTTTTTTTTCTCTCGGTGCAAACCGAGCTAGGTACACAACTCGTACATTCCGCGGAGAGAGGGAGACCAGGACGATCTCTTTTTACCGATCCGTACATATACACGTACTTTTATACGCATACTTTATCGTGCGACTTTACAGAGATGAATAAAGAGATTTTCTAGAAAACGAAGAGGCGAGATATCTTGTTCGAGTCGTTTTGACAACCAGAGATAAGAAATCGAAAATATGGAAATACTCCAAAGAGTAGCGACCATTCCCGGTTGCAGCATGCACTTGCATTTCGAAGTCAGTGTTCGTGTGTTACTCTCGATTTTTACGCTGAATGCTCTCACTCACTCGCTCGTTCGCTCTCTCCTCCACCCTCTCTCTCTCTCTCACTCTCTCTCTCGTTAAAAATTCCCCCTTAATCTCTCTCTCTCTCTCTCTCTCTTAATATCTCTCTGCTCGTTTATATCCGTCGTTCCGGGATTTCGATTCTCCAAATTCGAGTTCCGGGGAAAGGAGGTTAAAAAGAGACCCCAGGGACGAGAAGATAAAATGAAAAGAGGAACAATCAGAGGAATCTAGCGATTAAGGATGGCCGAGAGAGAAGGTCTCTCTTTTGGCTCTCGTTATCTCTCGTCTTCTCTCTTCACCCTCTAAGGTCGAATTAGAGCTCTTTCCCGAATTCCATTTCGACGGCCGACGCGTGTTTCTCCATTTTTCGTCTCTCCGCGCCAGCCCCCTTTTCTTTTTTCTCTCTCCTCTTCGCCCCCTTTATTTCGAGCCGCGTCCGTCTCTTTTCCTCTTGATTTGCTCCCTGGTTGGGGTAGGACAAAGGAATTGTTGGCAATCTCGCCGGACAGAGAGGACTCGTGGGAGCCTTGCAATTCCAACAGGGCCGACTCGCTCTTCCTTTTTCTCTCTTTCTCTCTCTCTCTCTCCACAAAAATATCCGGAGTCATCATTTCGTCAGTGTCGCCAGAAATTCCCCGGACGTCCTGAAAGGGGGAAAAAAAAAGGTTTCCGAATTTTCGGGCATTTTGTCTCATCGCCAGTTCCATTGTACTTTGCGCTTTCCTCATCCCTCGACTGCGAAGCGTAATTTGCTGAGTGCACTCCAAGTAAAAAATCCCTCCCTCCCCCCACACACAAAAATTGGAAAACTTGGAATTGCGAGGTCGCATAGATATTCCTCCCAAGAGCAGTTGCAGCTGCAGTTTTGCCGCATAAATCTGCATCTTCGGGCCCGCTCATCGATCCTCTCGAATGTTTTTCCTTCGAAATTGCGAAAACGCACTCTCTCTCCGCGCAATTGACAAATCGCTGCCGGTTATTCCGGTTTAATTCCGGCGCCGGGAGATCGATCTTCCCAGAAGTGGTCGGGATGCATCGAGTCGATATACACGAGTCAATATACATATCTGTTAGACACATTGCGTGTACGTGCGCCATTGGCACAGAGAAATTAATAGAGATGCTTAATTCTAAGAGGAAACTCGCGAGCTTAAATTCGTCGCGTGGTAATAATCGGTGCACCGATTAGAGCTTCTGATTAAATCAAGGGATTAATTAAAAGGGAAATAAGAAATATATAAGAGGAAGCGTAACGAGAGAGAGAGAGGGAGAGTAAAAGGGAGAGGGGGGGGGGGGGGCTAGAGAGGGAGAGGAGACCGATCTGCCTTCTCTGCATGCAATATGT